GCAGGCAAGCATATAGACAGATAGATAGACAGACAGACAGACAGACAGAAAGACAGACAGGCAGGCAAGCATATAGACAGATAGATAGACAGACAGACAGACGGACGGACAGATAAACAGACAGACAGTCAGCGGAGAGAGAAAGTTGAGGAGAGGGAGAGGGACTGATGGGTAGGTCGTAGGCTGTTACGGGGACGAAGTAGGGAGCCGCCAGGGGGCAGATATTAATAGGCAGTGGGCTTTGTAGGGGAGGTAGAGGGGAAAGAAGGACACGGTTGGAAAGGGGAAGAGGGGAAAGGGAAAGGTAGGGGAAGAGGAGGCCGTGGGGGGGGAGGAGGAGGAGGAGGAAGATAAGAAGAAGAGGAAGAAGAAGGAGAAAAGATGGAGAGAATGAAAAAAGGAGAACAGTGAGAAAGAGAGATTGAGAAAGGAGAACATAGAGAAAGCGAGAAGAGATGGAGAGGAAGAGAAATACAAGAGGAAAGGAAAACAGTGAGAAAGAGAGAAAACCCGAGTGCTGGAGCAAACGACGAGGAGAGGCGAGGCACTAGGAAAGGAAGCGAAAAGAGCGAAACAGACAGACAGTTTAGACAGACAGAATTCGCAAATGAATGATTGGGGAAAGAGGCAGGAAATACATACAGATGGAAGCTGACATCGTGCGCACTGGTACACGAGCTGGTGTGCGTGCATATGTAGGTGGAATGAAGGGGATATATTGGTTGTGCGGAGAGAGGGGAGGAGAGGAGAGGGAGAGAGAGAGAGAGGGGAGGAGAGGGAGAGGGAGAGGGTGAGAGGGGAGGAGAGGAGAGGGAGAGGGAGAGGGAGAGAGGGGAGGAGAGGGAGGGGGAGAGAGGGGAAGAGAGGGAGAGGGAGAGGGAGAGAGGGGCAGAGGGGAAGAGAGGGAGAGGGAGAGAGGGGAAGAAAGGGAGGGGGAGAGGAAACAAACGTGTAAGAAAAAGACATATATATATATATATATATATATATATATATATATATATATATATATATATACATACATACATACATACATACATACATACATACATACATACATACATACATACATACATACCATACATACATACATATATATACATACATACACATACATACATGCATACATACATACATACATACATACATACATACATATATACATAAAGGAACAGCAAAGGCCAAAAAATTAACGTGGATAAATATCAAGAACCAAAAGCGAGTCGCCACGCCACCCGAAGGAGCCCGAGAGATCACGTCGGGAATCGCCCTCTGCCTCGGGAATGCTAAGCAGCCTCCCTCGCCGCCGCCGCCGCCGCCGTCCCGCGGTGGTCGAGGCGGCGGCGCGCGGGAGGCTGCTCGGGGCTCCGTTTGTTTAGGCCTATGGCGTCGGGGGGGGGGGATTTTTGTACTGTTATTTATCGATTGCTGTTGGTTGTGGTGGCGTTGTTTTTGTTGTTTTTTGTTATTAGTATTGTTTTTTTTTCTTATGTTTGTTGTTTTTGCTATTATTAGTTATTATTACAACTGTGATTCCGCTAGCAGTAGGATAAACAATTTTTTTTGTTGTTAATTGAATTTATTATTTGTCATGTATCATGGTTAATTTCGTGCAATTGCTGTGCCTGGAATTTCGATTAGCCCAGACCCAACCGCGTCGGGTGATAGGCCTATTTTTTTTAACAAGCGCGTGGATCTGGTCAATGAGCCCTTCCCAGCGCGTGGACCCTTCGCTTTGCCGACCTCTGACCTGATCTCAGTGACCTTCAGACCAGGTGTTAATGCATGCCACCCCTCCCCCCTCCTCCCTCCCTCTCCTCCCTCTCCCCCTCCTACTCCTCCTCCTCCCCGTTTTCTCTTCCGCTTCTTCCGCTCCCCCCCCCACTCCACCTCTCAGCTCTTTTTCTCCTCCACCCCCTCTCTCCCTGCGCTTTTCCTGTCCTCCACCCCGTTCCTTCCTCTCATCCACCCCTCTCCTCTTCTCTCCTTCTCCTCCACCACCCTCCTTTCTCCTACTTCTCCACTTTCTCCCCTACTTTCTTCTACTCCTCCACCCCCTTTCCTTTACTCTCCCCCTCCTCACTTCCTTTCCTTCATCATCCTTTCTGTCGTGATCCTGCCCTCCTCTCGTCCGCGTCTTTAATTAAATCCTTCCATCTCCTACCTCTCTCCCCCCCCCCACACGCCCTATCTGCTTCACCCCAGTTCTCTCTCCCTTCCCCTCCCTCTCTCTGCTCTCACCGCCTCCCCTCATGCTCTTCCCTCTCCCCTCACCCACTCTCTCCCGTTCCCTGTCCCTTCCTCAAACCCTTTCTCCCTACCTCCCCCCCATCCCCACCCACACCCCCACCCCTCCTCTCAGGTGGACTGGATGCTGCATCTCTTTTGGCTCAGCGCTCGGGGGGTCAGGGATTTTATCTCTCTCCTCTCGGCCTTTGTTGCAGGTATACAAGGTCGCTGACCCCTTCGTCGTCGTCGCCGGGCGGCAGTCGATACTTCCTCGGTGGGCTGGCCCGGCCGCTTTCTTCCTGCCTTCTCTTCCTTCCTTCTTTCTTTCTTTCTTTCTTTCTTTCTTTCTCAAGGAGGCCGCGCGCGTTCTTTCTTTCTCTCTTTTCTTGTCTTTCTTTTCTTATTTTATTTATTTATTTATTATTATTATTATTATTATTTACTTTTTTCGCCTTTCTTTTCTCTTCTCGCTCTATTTGTCTTTTTTTTCTCTCCCTCCCCCTCTCTCCCTTCTTTTTCTTTCTTTCCCTCCATCCATCCCCTCCCCCTTTCCCTTCCTCCTTCCCTCTCTCCCTCTCTCCCTCTCTCCCTCTCTCCCTCTTCCTTTCCCTCTCCCTCTCCCTCCCTCTCCGAGTCTTCCTCTCTTTCTCTCACCCTTCCTTCCGTACCACGTTCTCCTCCTCCTTTTCCCTCTCTCTTTCTAAGAGCGCCAGAGAGAGAGCACGAGAGCAGGCCTGCAGCGGCCATAGAAGCTCACGTTTACCGTCCTCTTAACCGCCCCCCCCTCCCCCCGCCCCCCCAGATTTAACAGGGATGTCATAATGGGCGCGGGTCGTACCATGCCGTCTGCTCCGGTTAAGGGGGACGGGAGGTCTAAGGTAGGGGGGGTAAGGGGTAGGGAGGGCCGAGAAGGGGTGGGGGGGCGGGAAGGGGTGGGTTGGGGTAGGGCGAGAAGGGGGGGGGGAAAGCCGTGTGGCGTACTTCCTGCCCTCCTCCGTGTGCCTTTTTGGCGTTGCTTGGTTCACGCATGCAAGCTGGTTTTGCTCGTCTGCTCGCGTTCTTGGTTCGGTGTTTGGGGTGGTGTGTGTGTGTGTGTGTGTGTGTGTGTGTGTGTGTGTGTGTGTGTGTGTGTGTGTGTGTGTGTGTGTGTGTGTGTGTTCGTGCGTGTGTGCGTGATGATGGGGTTGGGTGTTCATAATCATTTGTATGTGGGATTGTAGGTTTATGTATAAATGGTTTGTAGATCTGCTTGTGTGTATGTTTGTGTCAGTGTGTTTGTATATTCATATGTGAGTATATCAAACATAGACGCGCAGATACACGTACACACGCACGCGCACACACACACACACACACACACACACACACACACACACACACACACACACACACACACACACACACACACACCCGCGCGCGCGCGCGTGCGTACACGCATACACTTAATCGCACGTGCTCATACGCAAGCAAGGAAGAGGACGACACTGCAGTAATGAGCTACACAAAGCGGGGGCGATTCATGTTCGTGGAGGGGGGGTGAAGGGGTGGGGATTGTGGGAGGAAAAGGACTAGGAGGGAGGGTTAAAAGGGAGTAGGGGAGGGGGGGGAGCTGTCTAGCAGATGACAAACACCCACAATCATTTCCGTTAATTCACAACCGGACACGTGCACAACGAGCCTTTCCGTCCACCACTCGGCCATTAATAACATATTGCCTGATAGCGTGTGTTTTATTTTTGTTTTTCTTTTCTTTTTCTTTTTTTTTCTTTTTTTCGGGCGAGACAAGTCCGTGTCAGAGTCCGGCTGGAAGGCTGCCGTACCTCTGGGGGAATTTGAGTCTGTGTGTGCGTGCGATGTGTGTGTGAGAGAAAAGGGAATGTGCGAGAGAAAGGGTGGTTGAGAAGACAAGAGCGAAGAGAAGAGAGAAGAAAATAAATGAGTAGATCAGAGGATGTATGCGAGGGACAGACAGGCAGAGAAAGAAAGAATAGGTAAAAATACATACGTAAACATAAACATATAGACACAAAAAAGACCGATAGAATAAACAGAAAAAACATGACAGACAAACACAAACAATAACCGACAGAGGAAATCCAGCCAAGCATTCAAACAAACCAAAAAGCAGACGAAAAGCCAAGCACAAAGGAAATAAGTTGATAACACGTCGAGTCCGCCTGTGCGAGTGTGTGCGTGTTTGCATGTAAGCGGGCGCACGTGCTGGTCGTGACGTGCGTGAGTTCCGCCCATGAGGTTGCACGCGGGTGGAGTCGGTGCCGCGATGTTGGTCACTGTGCCAGACAGCGAACTTGCAGGATGCTGGTCGCTGGTCGTGGCACTGAGGGGCTTTGTTGTTGTTTGAGATTTCTTGGTATTAGAAGGAAAGGATATTTTGTCATCGGTGATGTTTTATGTAATCGTGTTAGTTAATCCCAGTTTAGCGTTTTGTCATTTTTTTATGTGTATATTAGGTATGTGTGGTAATATAAAATATGTTTTTTGTATTTCTTTCTCTCGTGTCTGTGTGTGGTTTTTATTTGTGTTTTAGAAAAATAATTTCTTTACCTAAAATGAAGAAAATGTTTTACATTAATTCCATCCCCATCTTTTCTTTAGCACTCCATTGCCATAGCACTGATTTCTTTTTCCTTTTTCCTCGGGGTACTATTTATACAGTTTCTCTATTTTATATATATAAAAAAAAAATCTAACCTGAATGAAACGTCCCCCGCTCAGATATTCTAACCATGACCTTCGTTCCTCTCCCGCAG